GCTTCTGCATTGCTGCTGCAGAAGCCAGCAATGTATAAGCACAGATGCATTGGCAGCATTGCTTCTTGAAACCAACCTGGGCAACTGTCAGGCTCACAAAAGAGAATAAGCCATAGCCATGCAGCTGTGTTGGTAAGGGTGCTTCTTCTCACAGGAGATCACTTAGTTTATTTGCTAATGCTAGGAACTGGTAGAGGCTAACCTGCTGAACATGTCAAAATTTGTGCCATGCTGGAACTCTCTCTGACTTGTGGGTCAAGTATCAGAGAGGACAGTGAGAAAACTCTGCAGTGCATCACCCTGGATTGCCAGAACACTAGTCTAGGCCCAAAGAATCATAGAATCATAGAATTGCTCAAGTTGGAAAAGACATTAAAGATCATCGAGTCCAACCACAACCTAACCATGCTACCCTAACTCTAACAAGCCACCACTAAATCATGTCCCTGAGCACCACATCTGAACAGCTTTTGAACACATCCAGGGATGGTGACTCAACTACCTCCCTGGGGAACTTATTCCAGTTCTTAGCCACCCTTTCTGTAAAGAAGTGTTTCCTGATATCCAACCTAAACTTCCCCTGGCACAACCTGGGGCCATTTCTCCTCGTCCTGTTACCTGTCACCAGTAAGAAGAGATCAACACCGCTCTTGCTGCAAGCACCTTTCAGGTATTTGAAGAGAGCAATAGGTCTTCCCTCAGCCTCCTTTTCCCTAGACTCAACAGTCCCAGTTCCTTCAATTTCTCCTTGTAGGCATATTCTTCAAGTCCTTCACAAGCCTCGCTGCTCCTCTTTGTGCCTGCTCCAGCACTGCAATGTCCTTTCTGTACTAAGGTGCCCAAAGCTGAACACAGTACTCAAGGTGAGGCCTCACCAGTGCCAAATACAGGGGCAGGATTACTTCCCTAGTCCTGCTCACCACATCATTCCTGACACAAGCCAGGAATCGTGACAGGACCTTCATCTTCAAAGGCATAGTACTTTCTTAGAACATCAAATTACAGATCCTTGGGGAAAATGTATTCATTTTCAGTCCAACCTGTATACATCAACATGCATCCAACACAGAACAATCCTCCCTGCCATGTGAGATCAGCTGCCCAGCTTGGGCCCAAGGATATTTGGTGGCACACTGAATGAGATCCTCCAGCTGGAGCACAGCCTGCATGAGAAGAGCAGGAAATTTCAGGATTATGGAAGAATTGGGAAAACTGCAGAAGAATTCCCCTTTTGCTGTTGGAGATTTAAATCTGCACTTTCATTTAATCAGAAATGTAATTTCCGCAGTGCAGCAAGCTTCAAATTCTACTTATGGCCTTGGTGCCATGACAGTTTTGGTAGTAACTTGTTCTTTGTACATATTTCTACTAGAACCGTGAATAATCATCAAAATTAACTAGCCTATAGAGTGATTAAATAATTTCCTTCAATTTGCATTTGATATGTTTATTAAGTGCTGGAGGGTGTTCTTCACTCTCTTATTTTTTCTGCTGTTAAAGACTATATCTGGATCTTTGGCATAGGTACAGTGCTATTATGGTTACTTCAAAATTTTAATCAGATTACAGTATGAGTTACCATTTGATACTGTAAAAATGCCAGTAGGAAGTAGATAAATATTAAGATACAATTAGCCACCACTGCCTTTTATTGCTGGGAATTCATTAATATTGAGATAAGCCTGAGTTCTGTGGTAGTGACAATTTTTGTAGCGTGGTGCTTTTATCAGGTTACATTTTCTCACAAGTAATAGCACAAGTAATAAACAAGCTGGAGGATGAATATAAACAACACAGGTAGAAACAGCAATATTAAAGCTACAAAATATACGGAGTACCGCCTGCACGTTATTACTTGTGCTTCATTTACCCTACCCTTGTCAACAAGATCTGTAATTCAAAACATGCAATTCCTTGTGAGACATTTTCATTTTGAACCAGATGAAACTATCAGCACTGATCATCAATAAAAAACGTGATTTAAAACATATTGGAAACTCATGCTTTCAAATGCATGTCTTGGCCCTTCACACAAGCAAGTAGTCTCTAATGCCAATATGCATTAGAAATGCAATTGTACTATACTTAGATGTGGTTCAACCGCAGTTATAACATGGGCCATTAAGAAGCATTAAAAAAAAAAAAAAAAAAAAAAGGAAAAAAAAGGAAAGAAATAAGCAGGTTAAAAGGGAACATGTTCTGTTGCTCAGCTAAAAGACTTAGCCATAATTAGAAAATAAAATTGCTCAAAACTGGACGAAACAGATAAAATATTGATATCCAGGAGCGCAAGAGCGCGCCATGCAGAAACATCTTTACCTACAATTTTCCAGGGTTTGTGTCAGGTTTGTAAGGCTTTCAGTGTGCCTGGGAAGCCAGGTGTTCAGTGCAGAGAGCTGGGGAACCGGCAGGCTGCGGGGTGCTCTCGGGACACCGACACCACTGGTACTGGGAAAGCAACCTCCGCTCTACCGCATCCTCCCAAAGTTGGCTGCAGTCCTTCTGAAAAGCGATCCCCAGCCAGCTACGCATCTCCTGCACTCACGGGTAAGGTGAGCAGCATCAAAGTTAACTCTGAGCTGAAGGACTTGTCCATCACAGCATGTGACTGCCTGCCTCGCTGGGGCCGGGAGCAGTGGGAAATGCCCAGCTGCCTCACTTGGACACGGCTCAAAACTTCATCCGCTTTGGTTCAGTTCTCAAAATAGGGCACATGACCTCTAAGCAAGGCAGTACAGTAGGCTGCTTTCACAGTGCAAAGTCGCTGGCTTTGTGAGCAGGGGAGGAGGTAATGCTTGGCGCTCGCCGAGTTATCTTGTTCAGCATCGCATTATCCAGGGCAAATTTGCCACTATCTTTGGAGCAGGGATGACATCTGCCACAGTGTGGCTTATTCCATTGTGCCCGCTGCTCCATGCTATGTGTCTGACATAGGCTGACCTCCATCCAGAGCCAGGGTAGGGAGCTCTCCTGCAAGAGTTCGCTGCTCCCCGGACCACCTGGAGAACAGTGCCCCTCCCCAAGCTGTGACACAACAGCAGGAGCGGCCACAGGGCCACTCCAAGTAGAAATTGCAAGCTCTATTTATACATCTGTATGTGTATCTACAGAATAGCAGTATTTCCCAGTCTGGTAGACCCTAGTCATTATTTTATCAAGCCCACTGTAGGAACTTTTTTTATGGGATTGGCATAATGGGAACAGATAGCCTTTTCTCTTTACAGACAAAGATCTAAATTTCATTTTATAATCTGGCAATTATGTCGTTTGATTTTTATTTATTTATTTATTTTTTAAATAAAACAGATAATCTCCCTTCCCTGCTGAAGATGAGATCTTGGTTGTTAGTGACAGCTGTTAAAATGCCGCTAAAAATAGCTGCCATGTCAACCACTAAAAAGCGGAGTGCTCCTGCGAACTGCGGGCAGAAAACAAATGAGGTTTGCACTGAATCTGCACGAAGTCTGCAAGCATCCTGCGCGCGCCAGGCAGGCACTCTGCCCCTCCAGCTGCCATCTCTCTGCTGGGATGAGGAAAAAAGGGGGAAAAAAAAAACAACCAATAACCATTTGCTACCAAGGCATTAGGAACGTTACCTCAACTCTATTTGCTCAACAGTAATAATCATAGTTATACACCACGAAGGTTGAGACTACCTCCAAGCATTCCAGCTGCTGTTTGTATTTACACCTTTGCCCTGAATAATAAAAATAAACCCCACAAGAATGGCAGGAAGAGTGAGACAAAGCAGCGCGACCCTCGGCCCAGCACTACGCTGCTGTGCGCGGCACGAAGCGGGCCGGCTCTGCCGGGGGTCCCTGCGGGCAGGCGCTGCCCTCTGTCCTGGAGAGCACCGGCGACGGGCTGGGAGAGATCCGAGCTCCCTAGCAGCTGCGTGGCACTGAGCGAGGTAAGGGAGAGGGAATTGTTCGCGTTCTGCGCGATAATACATCTCGCTAGGTTCCTCCTTTTTAGCGACATTCTGGCTAAAAATAGCACGCTGGTGTAGGCACAGTGAAATATGATTTGCTTCCAATAATACGGCAAACTAATTGTGAAATTAAGCTCCCGAGCGCGCTGATATCTTGCAGCCCAGCTCCGGCAGCACCGCGTGCCGCCCCGTTCCGCATCGATCAAGTTCCCGCAAAGTTTGACGGCTGCGGACGGCAGCGGATGGAGCGCTGCCGGCCCAGGCCCTGTGCCGCAGGTAGGGGCGAGCAGCCCTCCGCCCGGGAGCACAGCGCGGCCGCCTCCCTCCCTCCCTCCGCCGCTTCCTTTTATTTTTTTTTAGGATGATTAAAGGAAGAAACGTGCAACGCCCCGAACTTCCCAATAATCCGCGTGGAAACATCTCAGCCACGACGGGAATATGAATGCAAAGCCCGCAGCGATGTGAGCGCTGAGCCCCGCTCCCGCTCGACTCCGCGGTGCGGAGCGGTGCTGTGTGCGGTGCCGTCTCCCGCACTTCCCGGCCCCGCGGAGCGCTGCGCCCGCAACCCGCAGCCCGCCGGGGGGCTCCGTGCCGCCGCCAGGGCCGGGAGAGCCGCTCCGCCGGGGGAAGGGCGCGGAGACACTCCTCCCCCGGTGCCGCCCGCCCTGCCTCCCGCCCTCCTTCCCTTCCTCCGGCGGCTCCGCGAACCAGGAACCGCGGCGGCGGCGGCTCCGTGCGTGAGGAACCCCGCGGCGCCGCGCCGCCGGGTGCCGCCGGGAGCGCCGGGGCGGCGCGGGAGGAGGCGGCGCGGCCGCGGGGCGCTGCGAGGGGCCGGGCGGCACCGGGGGGAGGAAAAAGTTTACACCCTCAGCGCTCCCCTCCCTCCCGCTCCTTGGTGGCGCAGATGGGAGTTTTACCTGGAATGACATAAGTTTGTTGCATTTATTTTTTTCAATTAATATTATTATTATTATTCCCGTGGCTTTTTTTTTTTTTTTTTTGAGGGTGTCTCCCTTTCTCCCCCCCTCCCCCCCGCTTTCTCCCTCTTCACCTCCTCCCCGCTCCTGGATCCACCCCCCGCTCCCCTCCGCCGCCGGCCGAGGGTGTGACCCGCGGGAACACCCACCCACCTCAGGCGTCCATGGTGGGAGCTGTCCGCCCGCCGCGCCGCAGCCCCTCCGCGCCCGCTCCGCCGCGCACTCCCCAAATCCCCTCTGTTTTTTTTTTCCTTCCCCTCCCGGAGCCGGTGCGCGCTCGCTGTCGGATGGTTCGCTGGCAGCAGCCGGGGGCCGCGCCTCCTCCTGCCGCCGCCACCACCACCACCACCACCATGTCGTAGAGAGGTGAGTGCAGCGCGGACCCCGCGCGGTATCCAGGTCACGGCCGCAGCCTGAAAACTTCGCGGGGAGGAGGGACACAGCCGTGTGACGGCGGCGGCTCCGGGCAGCGCGCGCGGATGGGCGCAGCGCGGAGGACACGGCTGCGGGCGGGAGGTGCGCGGCGCCCCGACGGCCTCTCCCAGGCGGGACGCGGGGCGGGGGGCGGCGAGCGCTGGGGAAGGACGGGTGGGGGACGTCGGACGCGGGGCGGGGGGCAGCGCGGGGCTCAAACTTTGCTCTCCTCGCGTCTCCCTGGGAAAAAGCAGCGCCGGGCGGGATGCGCGCGGCAGCGGTGAGCAGAGGACGAGTCCTTGAGGCTCGGCGCGCTCTGCCGCCACCGCCGGTTTTTTAAATTTTTTATTTTTTTTCCCCTCTTCCCCGTTTTTTATTTATTTATCATTTTATTCTGTTTTTTTTTAACCCATCCTTGCACCGGCGCCGCTCGGATCCACGCGCAGCCGAAACGCGGAAAACCGGGGCTGGCGCGGGGGTGACGCTCGGCCTCGCCGCCCCGCCGCGGTCCCCGAGCCCCGGGCGAACGCACCTCCCGTCTCCCCCCATACCCCGAACCGCCCCCCGCGGCCCGGCCCGGCCCCGCGCCGTCCCGGGGCGCGGCGCCCTGCGGCTTTAAGGAGCTGCGGCTGCCGCCTGTGTCGCAGCAACTTTGTATCAGTCATGTCGCCCGGCGGCTGAGTGACGGCGCCGCTCGGCCAATGGGGCGCCGGCCTGGCCCCCACCGCGCGCCTCTCGGCCAATGGGAGCACGCGGCGCCGGGACGTAAACTTGAACTTGCGGGCATGTGACATGTTTTTAAAGGACTTGGCACCTTTTCCCGTCCCCTCCCGGGTGCCGCGCCGTGACACCGGGCGGCGCGGCGCGCCTCGGGCGGGCGGGCAGGGGCCGGGGGGCCGCCCCGCGCCACTCCGCCCGCCCTCCCTCCCTCCTTTTCCCTCCTCCTCCTCCTCCTCCTTTTCCCTCCCTCGGCGGCAACAGGTACCGCGGGCGGGGGCGCGGCCCCGGGGCCCCCGGGAGCAGCGGGCGTGGGGGGATGCAGGGATGCTCCGCCGGGCGGGCGGCGGCGAAACGAGCGCCGTGAAAGGCGACGGCTGCGGGGAGCCGGGTGCCAAACTTAGTGCGGGTCCCGCTTAGGGCTGGGTGACCCTCGAGGGGAGCGGGACCTCCATGCGGCGGCTTTCGGTTCTTTGACTGGTGAGAAGGTCCTTCTGTTTCGCAGTTGCCGCGAGCTCCGTTTCACGCCGGCGGGTCGCGGTGCGCGGGAGGAGGGGGGGGGAGGGGGGGGGATCGCAAATGGCCGCGCACGGGCCGGCGAGGAGAGGCCGGCGCTGAGGGAGAGGGGCCGCGCCGCGAGGTGGTCCCGCCGCCAACACCGCGCCGCCTGCCGCCTCCCCCGCCGCGATCCGCCGTGCTGCTTGGAGCCCGGCTCCTTGCTGCTCCCCGAGCCGCGCAGGATCTCTCCTCTCCCTCCGGTAGCGCAGGACCGGGGAGGGGGGGGGGGGGGAGGGGGTGAAATTTTATTTATTTATTTATTTATTTTTCTCCCGTGGAGTGACCCAGATTTCTATCCGTTAAAGTTCTGAAGCACGCTCGCCTATTGATTCTGTACGAAGTTTTGAGGTTTGCTGCTGCGAAGGTTAGCTTGAGCCAGCGCCACAGCGCTCCCGCAGCTCCGGGCCTGTGTCGGAGCGGCCCCGCACCGTGCCGCTGCCTGCGGGGGCTGCGGGGCTCTGCCATCCCGGTGCTGACCCTCCCTAAGCCCCCGGGGTTCCGAAGTGGCGGTCACTGGCGGCCGCCATTGATTTCTGTTGGAATTAGGCTTGCCCAGCACTTAACGTGAGGGCTAAGTGATGATCTAGAAGTGACTTTGTGTGAAAGCGAGCACTTCTGGATGGAGATTTTCGACTGTAGGAGTGGGTTTGGGTCCACAGAATGATATTCTCACAGCGTTTGTGCCTGACAGGAATGCAGGCGTAAGGCCGTAGCCCTAAGGAAGGGCAAAGTAGTATTCGAGCCTTTCTCTTGAAGGTTTTTTGCTTTTTTGTTTTATTCTTTTTTTTACGGTGTTGCTTAAAAAAAATGATAGTTCTTAAGCAGTGCTAAATGAGGCGGTTAAGCACGGTGTTAAACACTGCAAAACTAGTGCATTTTGAAAGGGGAAAAAAGATCTTTATGTAATACTGATATTATAAGTATTGGCACTCGACTTTCTACAGTTCTGACAAGATGATGAGCCTGTTCTTCAGAATGTTGCTGCTACCTATACGTGATTTTCAGAATAACAGAATTCTTCCAGAATAATGCATGTGTGACCACTCAGAAAGCAGCCATGCTTAGGGAGAGTGCCACGCTGGGTGAAAGGCTTTGTAGGGTCACTTCTTAGAAGGAGGCTCACTTTCCTTTATGCATTCCTCTTACTGCGTACCGTGGAAGTCGGTGGGGTTGCAGACCCTACAGCCTTTCATCATCCCCTCCATCTGTGCAGGAACTTCTGTGGGGCTTCTCTCCTCGTTCAGCTTGTCCTCCCATATCCTGCAGTGGGGCTCTGAAAGCTTGGCTCCCAGCCCCATAGAACTGCAGCTTTCCTTCAAAGCATCGCTTACAGCACTGGAAAATCAAGAGAAACCTTTGCAGAGCACCAGCCCCTGCTGCTTTGCTGTCCCTATAGCACGGTAGCATGAGGTCTTTGGTGGTGCTGCAGGGTTGGGCTGGCACTGTCCAGCATAAGCTTTCAGGCAAGAATTTGGGTGTTTTTTGATGACTGGTCATCTCTGTCTGAGAGTCTGTCAGACTGTCTTATCTGTGAGACCTTTTCCCGTGGCATGGTTGAGAAGAGACTGATGGGGTGGGAAGCGAGGCTGGCAAGCGGACAGACAGGGATAGACAGAGTGAGCGGATATGCCTTGTTTCCCTAGGAAATTAGGAAATTTCCTTAGTAAATTGCACTGTCCTGCCACTTATTAATTTCACTTCTTTGTGTGTGTGTATGTCTTTACTAGTTATGGAGACAAAAGGATACCACAGCTACCCTGAAGGCATAGATATGGAGAGACGGTGGGGTCAAGTTCCTCAGTCTGTGGAGTATTCTTCCCTAGGTCCTGGAGAGCAGGCTGATGCCAGTAACTATATGGAGATTGTGAATGTGAGCTGTGCTGCCGGCACCTTTGCGAACAGCAGCGCTCCAGGAAACAAGGAAAAACCTGAGCTTCTCTCCTGCCTGCAGCAGGACAGCAGCCATCCCACTGTTCTGCCCTCTGACATCAAAACTGAAACCGAGTCGAAAGAACTGTCAGCGACAGTGGCCGAATCCATGGGTTTGTATATGGATTCGATCCGAGACGCCGACTACCCGTATGATCAGCAGAACCAGGGAAGCCCGGGTAAGATCTACCAGAACGTGGAGCAGCTGGTGAAGCTCTACAAGGAGAACGGCCACTGTTCCTCTCCCCTGCACAGCCCCAGCAGGCCCCTGCGGTCCCTGATGGCGGACTCAGGAAGCGCCATGAATGGCGGTGCCATGCATGCTGTTGTCAAAAGCCCCATTGTGTGTCAAGAGAAAAGTCCCTCAGGCTGCAGTCCTCAGAACATGGCTTCCTCGGTGTGTAGTCCTGCTGGTGTTAACTCAGTGTCCTCAACTACTGCTAACTTTGGGAACTTTGCTATGCACAGCCCCATCGGGCAGGGAACTCCCTTGTCACGATCACCCAACGTTGAGAGCCGGGGGTCCATGTTGCACAGCCCCGCTCACATTAGCAACGTAGGGTCTCCACTTTCTAGCCTTATAAGTAGCATGAAATCACCAATTTCTAGTCCTCCTAGTCACTGCAGCGTGAAATCTCCCGTCTCCAGTCCTAACAATATCACTATGCGGTCTTCTGTCTCCAGCCCTGCAAACCTGAACTCAAGAAGCTCTATTGCCAGCCCTTCCAATGCCAACAACAGGTCCACTCGCTCCAGCCCAGCGGTTAGCACTGTGGGGGGATCTTCGATCTGTAGCCCCGTCAACAGCTCGCTAGGATTCCCTGCTTCCAGCACGCCGGCTGGACCTAGCAGAAGCCAAGATACTGTTCCCAGTCCAGAAACGAAAGACAAGGGTGCTCAAGAAATCCCATTTCCCAAAATGGAGGAAATGGAGAATGCCATCTCAAACAACAGCCAGATGAACCTCGTTCAGTTCATAAAGCCCGAACCAGACGGTTCATTCGGTAGTGCGTGCATTGGTGAAAACAGTAAAATAAGTTCTGATTGCCCCTTTTCGGTACCGGTGAAGCAAGAGTCAGCTAAACATCCTTGTTCCGGTGCCTCTTTTAAAGGGAATCAAACAGTAAATCCTTTTCCATTTACAGATGGCTCATATTTTTCTTTCATGGATGACAAAGACTACTACTCTCTTTCTGGGATTTTAGGACCACCTGTTTCTTCCTTTGATAGCAGTTGTGAAGGTAGCGGTTTTCCAAATCCAGGCCTCCCTGTGGGGATTAAGCAGGAGCCTGATGATGGCAGCTATTACCAAGACAGTAGCATACCATCCTCTGCCATTGTTGGTGTAAATTCAGGTGGACAGTCATTTCACTACAGGATCGGTGCCCAGGGCACGATATCTCTGTCACGGCCCGTTGCTAGAGAGCAAGCATTTCAGCACTTGAGCTCCTTCCCTCCCGTCAGCACGCTAGTGGAGACCTGGAAATCACATTCGGAGCTGGCGTCCAGAAGAAGTGATGGGTATCCAGTTCTAGAGTACATTCCAGAAAACGTGTCCAGGTAAGCGAGCAAACTGCTACTTGTTTTTCCCTCCCTTTTCCACAAGATGTGGATTAAAATGAGGTCTGGGGTGGTATTTCTCAAGTTGATGTGTAATTCTGTGCTTGCATTTCAGTTCTTGCTGCTAGACTTGCTGGTTGTTTGCTTTAGTTTGCTATGGATTTAATAAAACCAAGTGCTCGCTTTAATATTTAAAAAGAGCGTATTATTTTCTATCGGTATTAGATTTGGAAGTGTCGCTTTGTTACGTTCGTGAGCTCTTACTACTGCAAACGTTGTCTTTCCCATAATGAAAGGTTAGTAAAATTGCTGTTGTGTGTCTGATAAAGGGTATTGTTCCTTAGCTGGTGCTCAAATGTGTTGTAACTCGAGTGAAATGTTGAGATGAGGGTAAGACGGTAATGTTAGGAATCCATTTCTGTAGAGATGCGTGGCTCTAATTTTGCACTGGGCTACAACTGGTTAAATTTGAAAACTAAACCTTACAAGCCTGTGGCAACATATTATTTCTGTATTGTAACTGTAGGAACATTTGGTTTGTATATATAGAAAAATGCCTCCAGAAGGAGGAGGGCTGTTAAAACTTGATGCATTTGAAAGGGAAAAATGGATGAACTGATCTCCTAACTTTTGGTGAGAGAAATATGCAACCGTCCTAAGCGTTTGTACTGGCCAATCCATGGAAGTCCATACTTCTTCCACGAACGGGTGTTCATGTGTTTTGTGAAGGACGCTTACTTACATAAGCTGTCTACTTGCATAGTCAGTTTTACAAATTATTAAATGCATCTGGCAATGTGACTGAGTTAGAGTAGCTACAAAGCCTCCTCATCTGTCAAACTGGCTGACCCCAGGTTTGTGCTATCAGCAAAATAGCTGATAACAGAATTTGCATTTACTTGTCTAAAGCTGTGCTTCTCCTCATCAAAAGATGCACAGCTTCTACCGTATCCTTTGATTGGAGTGAAGAGAATGTGTACTTTTCTCAATACTTGTATGACTCAAAATATTTCTGGAAAACAATGATCTTCCAATGAAGGACATAGTGGCTAAACTAACTGTGCTTTTGGGAAGGGAAGACAATCTGTGGACCTAGAGTTTGGGGTGGGCAAGGGGGCAGGGGGAGGAAACACTTGAAATATTTGCATTTTATTCTCTGGCCTGTCCAGTACCTCTGCGGTCTACTTGAATAGTTCAGACTCCATACTTGACTTTTTCTTTGTCTAATTCAAATATTGTTTGTAGAGAGCACACTTTTTTTAATACATCTTGTTCAAATTGAAAAGTCTGTACCCCACCTTCTTGCTGAACTTTGCACATAGCTGTATGTTTGTCATCATCTGTGCTTGGATCAAACGTACTTCCTGGATCAAAGGAGATGAAGTTACTGTCTCCTAGTTATTTTGCCAGATAAATGTTCATAAAATGCATTATTTACACATTGGGAAAAGTTCACCAGAAGAGTGATAGGCAGTCTGCAAACAAAGACCCAATACTTACTTGCCTTTGTGTTTGAGAGCTGTTACTTGGGAGCTGGTCCGTGAGACTTCTTGTGTGAGGAAGTGCTGCTCACGTTGATCCAAGGTTGTCATCTGCTGCAGGATGTGATCCACTGAGCAGTAAACAGGGAAATGCTGTTCAAGAGTGTGGTCATCCATAGTTATGTTTTTTTGACAGTTTTGCTTAAGGCTTTTGAAGGAGTATCTTCTAATCTGACGTTATTCCATGGTAGCTCTTCTCACCTGTGCCTCTAGACCCATAAACGAATCATCTGTCATCAGGGGAGATGTGACTGTGCTTTCCTTTGTTTTCTAAGCTGATATCTTAGTAAGGTATGCATCTGAGTGTAGCCGTGGCTTTACATGATTGAAATTCTGACGTTTTTACCTCTCAGAGCAATTATGCACGTGCGAAATTCTGTTTAGGTGGTAGCGATCTGCAAGGTTGCAACACTTCAGACATCCTGATCTGTGTTTCAGATTAGGATACATGTCATCATTTCAAATCTCTATCTCAGCCTCATTATTTAACTAAATGTTACTGTTAATCTGTCTGGCAATGACTTTGTGCTAACAGATGCAGCAGGGGACCTGTGCGAATGCCTTTCAGGTTTCAAAATAAATTAATGTAGAGGTTATCTTAGCAGTACAAGTTTGAATGCATAGGTGCCCATACAGATATTTGTCTGCTGACGAAACAAATCAAAGACTTGCAAAAGCTCACTCTTCCTAATGAGCCTCAAATCCATCTTCACCTTTATCCTCAATTCCTGTGCCACATTCCAGCTAAAGCAGAGAAAATCATGATTAAGTTTGTTCATCCCCCAAAGCACTGTAATAAAACATATTTTAAAGCTGTGTCCCAAAGGGCATTTCATCTTTCCTATGTCAAGAGGGTATTAAAATGACAAAACCTCTCTTCGTTCACGTTGTTTAAACATGTGATTAATCCTTTGTAGCTTGCAGTACCAAGTTCCTGATGTTTTAAGTCTTCCATATCGTCTTTATTTCTTTCTGAAGTATATTTATTTTGCATTATAAGTGCCATAAGAAAAGACTAAAATGAAGGTAAAAAAGAGGCTACATGATTCTTTGAAGTTGGTAGATGATCTGCATTGAGTAGATCTTGTTTTGACAGTGTTATGATCTGAACCTCAATACTGTGTCCTCTTTGATATGCAGCTTACATTGTGGAAAGGACTGGGTGACCAGGAATGAAGAAGGCTTTTCGTGTTGGGAATGTTTAGAATGTTCTTAAAAATGATTTTCCTTTCCTATTCAAATATCACCTTTTATTAAATTGGTTCTTTCTTGAGTCAGTTACAATTGCTGACAGTATCAAATAAGCACAGCCTAGGCATGTGAAATACTTTGCTGTCTTATTGACCAAGTGCCCACTGTCAACTGCAACATTCTCTTTTGTTTTTTTAGTTATTTTTGTTTGATAAAGGATGGTTATGGTTATCTTTAAGGTGGATGGTGGGAACTTTGTTTACAAGATTACAATCAGCAGGATTTGGGGAAGGAGAGCTTAAGTGAAGAAGCATGTTTGCCTGTTGCCTTTGAAATGCTGTTTCTGTTAATATGCATGCAGAACATACCTTTGAAAGATTGAGCATGCATTATTTTTAATAGAGGGTGAATCGTGTGTGTAGACCTCTCCCCCCCCACCCCCTTCAATGAATGACATTAATAAGAAATAGCGGATTTTAAACAAATAATAGCAAAGTGGGCTTAGAAAATAAGGTATGTGAGGTGGAGTGATGTCATTGACGGAAATCTGCTTTAAGGTGGTTGCTCATCTGAATCAGGGTATGAGCCTAAGACTTATGATCATGCCAATTACGTAATTTCCAAAATGGCCTAGGAAAATGTCAGGGTTGCTTGAAACAACAGTAAAAATTGAGGAGGATGACCTTTCTGCTGTGTTAGCTCTTACCTAAAGCTTTTTCTGCAAATGTGCCTTTTCCCTCTAATTTCCATGTTAACTCTTGTATATGCATGTGCATACTCGCTGTTCTCAGCAGTTGTGGAAGAAACAAAGGGCTGATGTGCCTACTGTGCGTTCTTCCAAACAGTTGCAATTGGATAGTTTTCAGATTTGGCTAAAAGTCAGACTGTTTGGTTCCATTACCTGGTAACACCTCCTTGCGTTGCCTTGCCAAGTGTTTCCCCCAAAGCTGCTTTCTTCCCAGGCTGGGAACAGGTGCAAAGTTGCTCCCAAAGGGAGAGAAGACCCCTGAGGATGGCACATTTCCATGCCATAGAGCTCTGGGGTAAAGATCCATGTGCAGAGTTTTTCCCTGTGTGGATGATGATGAATAGGTGCAGGTGTTGCTTGCTGTGACAGGTGATGGAAAAAAAGGACTCAGATGCAGTTTCAGTTTCCCATGATTCGGGAGCAGTTTTGCTCCAAACTTTTTCAAACTTTCAGGTTGTTGGGTTTTTTTGTTTTGTTTTGTTTTTTTTGTTTTGTTTTTTGTTTTGTTTTTTCCCAGTGACTGTAAGGAGTGTCATACCAACTGGTGAGCTGGTGCATGGTTTGCTTGTGCATTTATTATTTTTAATGTTAAAAAAAAAATCTCCCCCTTGATTTTGGTTTAGAAACTAAACAGTACCCTCAAACCTGTTTTTCTATGATGATGATGTGTAACTGCATGTCTTAGATTGTAAACACATCAAAGAGTTGGATTGAATGTACAAATTTAAGCATGTGAATATCTGTTCTTTCGGAGCGTGGGTAGCCTTAAAGGAATTTAAGGTACAAAATGATACAGGTTCCTGAAGTTCTTTCTGTGCGCTAGCCTGTGTATGGAGGTGAGTTGTGAAGCAGTATTGTTTCAACAAAGTTTCCCTGGCTGCGTGGGATGAATTCACAAAGTTACAGTGTGTTGCTATCATTAAATAAGTTCACTATTTCAACTGGAGTTATTTCTACCTACTAGTAATTACATTTTAATTGTTTACCGGCTGGGGAAATTTCAAAACATTTCGTCATCAGGTTTTAGAGTCTAATGTAGATATGCTAAAATTGCCTGAAAGGCTGTCATTCACTTCTTAGGATTTACGATCAAGCTGACAGTGTTTAGGGACTTTTTATACCTGAGCAGTTTGCGTAAGTCAGGACAGTGCTTTGATGAGCAGCCCAGAGCCTGATCTGGGTGGTATATCTCAGCTTCCCAGAGCACCAGGTGCATGCAGGATGTCCCTGTCCATCCTTCTGACCCTGCTCATTGCTCATTGTCATCCTTCTGACCCCCCTCCAAAAAATGCTGATAATAACAATGTGGGCTTCATTTATGGGTAACCCTCCCTGAAGTGAATAGATGATCTGATTTCAGGCTATTGGCAATTATTTTCTGTCAATAACGTTGTGTTAAAAATTATCTAAATAGTCAGTTATCTGAATGATACCTGCCAGGGAGATAAAGGTCTGGTAAATATTATTTTTAGAATTTATGATTGACCTTCACCTCTGTTTGTTTTTTTATGGACTTCATA